TTTCAGCAGTCCAGAGAGGTATGTAAATCTTGAGGGCTATTTTTTTAGAACTCTGGGAGGTCAGGGCGGACCCCAGTTGTCTGCACAATTTGTCGAGCCGCATCGATCTGCGAGGACCCGGAGCCCGAAACTGTGCGAAAACGCCGGGCGCGAAAAGATTGCAGCGCCAGGTCCCTCCTCCGGGAGCCGCCTGCACGCAGCGCTCGCGAACCTCGGGGGGCCGCAACTGACCACCTCGCCTGCCCCGGCCGGGCCCGCCCTGGGCCAAGGATCGGTGCACAGGTGCCCGCCGCCGCTGGTCGGGAGAAGCGGGCAGAGGCACTACACGCAAGAGTGACCCTAGGCAAGAGCGGCCTTTGCTGCGCAGCTTTTGAGGGGCGCGGGGGGCCAACACCAAGCTCGCATGCCGCTGCTTTCGCATCGCATTCGGCGATCGGGGAGCCGCGCTGGGCCCGCGCGGAAGAAATGGTGGAAGAATGAAGTCGGAAGGCGTTTGTGGTACATTCGGACTTGATTGGCGAGAGGACACGAGACTCTTCCGAGGGCCACATTGCAACATGGATGTAGGAGGCATGGGTCGCGAGGCACAGGACACAAAGGTACCCTTGATTTGGCAGGGTCGACCTCTTTATCAGGGCCGACTGTGGATTGGGCTTCCGCCCGCCCCCGTGCAGAGGAGGGAGGGGGAAGCACCGCTCGACTCTGGATGCAGGAAGGCGCCTGGAAATCTGGGGCCCAACAAGTAAGCAACTACTTGCTGTCGACCGACGTGGTGTGTGCACGCCCTTCCCTGGCCATGCCAGGGGCGCGTGTGCACTGGTCCTCGGCCCAGGGATGCCCAGCTGCCCCCGACGTTGTGATCCTTTGATGACGTCGACCCCCAGAGGCCTGGACCCTTCCCCGAGACAAAATTTTCATCCTGGCTCGTTTCTTGTCACGGTCCCAAGGCCCGGTCAGGGCCCCCGAAGGCCCCCAGGGATGCCCAAACATCCGACCATGTGATCTTTTCACGACGTCGACCCCCAAAGGTCTGGAACCCTTCCCCGAGACCAACTTTTCGTCCTGGCTCGTGTTTTTTCACGGCCCCGAGGCCCAATCAGGGCCCCAGGAAGGCGGGAGAACAGCGAAGAACCTCTTTCGCAACGCGATAAGGGTCTGGGTGGGCGCGGCTAGGGTCGGTGGGGTGGTCGGTGGACGTCCCCCAATTGAGCAGGGACCGACCGTCCCGGCATTCCTCTAGGCCTACCACGAAATGTCCTTAGAACCCCCAAATGTTCTAATAACAAGAAAGATGCTCTTAGAACATAAAACCGATGTGTGAAAACAAGCCAGCCCCTTTGTGCTAGGAACACTTTCTGCTAACCACACAATGTGATTAACACATTCTTTGCTGGGCCTATAAGCACTGCTTGACCCAGGGGGCCCTACCGCCCCCCGCTCCTCGAAGTCGGTGTGGATCACGCTCGCGGCCTTGGGCGCCGCCCAGCCCTCGCGGATCGTCCAGGCGCGGGACTCCTTCGGCCCGCAGGTGTCCGCGAGCCCGCCATCGGCGGGTCCCCCCACTGGTTCGAGGAGGGGGAGGAGGAGGAGGAGGACCCTAGCTGCGTCAATGATGTTGCAATCTGCCCTCCCTTCAAACTCCCTCACCATCGGCCCCTACAGAGATATGCTATCATTGCGGGAAGTGCCCCACTAGACCATTAAGAGACAAGTGTCTAATAATCTTCAACCGTGCCAATATACGATGTCTAGGACTTCAAAACCGCGAATCAACGTGCCTGTTGCGGCTTGGCAACCCTACATCCTGGCTGGCTACAACTCTTGGGACTTCAGCACCACAAATCATCATGACCGCTGCGTCATGACAATCTCAAGTCTTAGCAGAGCACCATCCTCTCCCGAGGCTCCAACTATGCGAACCCTTGAAACTGCGGCAAACTTTTAGAACGCTTGTGTGCGGCGCTGGGGCGAGCTCTACACCTTGGAAACGAGCCACCCTCAATGCTTGAGACCGGTGCCCGCCCTCCATCCGTGAGGCTGCTGCGAACTTTCAGAATCCGCCCTCCATTCTTGACCTTGTGGCTTCAAACTCCATAACCACAGACGGTGAGGAAGCCCCCGGCCAAACGTATGGCATGGCCCGCCCTACCGACACGTCTGGGTAAGTGGAAGAGAAGATTTATTGTAAGGAGGAGAGATGAAGGAGGAGGAGGAGGAGGAGATTGAGGGAGGGAGAGAGACAGAAATATGATGGTGGCGATGATGAGGATGAGGATGATGATGCTGATGATGATGATGCTGCTGATGATGATGGTGGTGATGATGATGGTGATGATGATGATGCTGATGCTGATGCTGATCATGATGCTGCTGATGATGATGATGATGCTGATGACGATGATGATGATGACGCGGATGATGATGCTGATGATATGGATGATGATGGCGAGGAGGAGGAGGAGGAAGAGGAGAGGGAGGAAGAGGAGGAACAGGAGGAGCA